TTATGTTATGTTTGTGTGAACTATTTGAATGTTAATATTACTGATTAAATATTTAATTGCATGATGTTTTACACTAGTTCACCCTTAGATTATTTGTAGTTGTGGTTTTCACTTTTGTGATAACTATATGATTCATGTTATGCGCAAGCAGTGGGTATTGCATATAAATATCAGGATGCATAGCATTAAGTTTCTTTTGTTTAAATTCTCATTAGTTACCTTGAATATACATTTCATTCAAGAGAATTGCTTTTAAGTTTACATTTACTATTTCGGAAGTTTCATCTTTTTTTTTTTTATAAAGAAGTATTACTTTAGTATATTTTCTTTTTTCATTAAAAGATATTATACATTTCTAGTAGTACCTTTCTCGGGTGTTACACTAATGACACGAAATATAATGTTTGTGTTCAACATTCAAAGTGATGACCCATAATGTCTAAAGATACGCTTTAAAGATGAGTCATGGCATTGGTATATTTAATTTAGCCATCTTAATTTTAAAGGATTAGAGTTACTTTCCAAGAAGACAATGGTGAGAAGGTTATCTTGTATTACTCACCCCAACCAAGTTTGTGAAGAACGTCTACTTGGAAAACAATTCCTATCGAGCTTTCCAAATGAGTCAAACTCAAGAGCTCAAAAGTTATTAAAACTCTTACACACAGATCTATGTGTCCAATCATCCCAATATCACTCGGTAAGAGTGGTTATTTCCTTCTCTTCATTGATGATTTTTCAAGATAAACATTGGTATACTTCTTAAAAGAAAAATTAGAGGTATTTGCGAACTTCAAGAAGATTAAAGCACATGTTGAGAAGGAAAGTGACATTGTGATTAAAGCTTTAAGATCCGACTGTGGAGGAAAGTTCACATCAAAAGAGTTTAATAAGTGTTGTGAAGATAATAGAATTAGACGATAGTTGATAGTGCGAAGATCCCCTCAACAAAATGGAGTGGAAAAAAGGAAGAATATAACAATCCTAGAGACGACAAGGAGCATGCTTATAGCAAAAGACTCCTCAAGAAGTTTTGGGGTGAAGCCGTTGCATGTTCAGTTTATCTTACCAACTACTCCTAATAAGAATCGTGAGTGGAAAAACACCACAGGAAGCGTGGAGTTGGAGAAAGCTAGGTCTTTCTCATCTTAGAGTCTTTGGAAGAATAGCTCATGTCTAAGTATCAGATGAGAAGCAAATTAAGCTTGATAACAAAAGTGAAGAATACATCTTCATTGGTTATGATGCCATCTTCAAAGGGTACAAGCTCTACAACCCTGATACAAGGAAAACAATCATCAGTCGAAATGTAGTGTTTGATGAAGAAGGAGAATGAGATTTTTCAACAAATTGTGACGTAAGCTCAAGTGAAAGAACTCCATATTTTTGAAGTCTGTAAGAAATCTATGAGGTAACTAAAAATCTAGACAATGTTACCTTATTTTGTCTATTTATGAACTGTGAGCTCATGAATTTCCACAAAGCAATTGAAAAGAAGAGTTAGAGAAATGCTATGAATGAAGATATCAATGCAATAAGGAAGAATAATACATGGGAGCTAGTCTCGCTTCCAAAAAGGCATAAAGCAATTGGTTTCAATTGGGTTTACAAAGCAAAGAAGAACTCTAAAGGAGAAGTTTAAAAATACATGGCAAGATTGATGGCGAAAGGCTACAGTCAAAGAGCTGGCATCGACTATGACAAGGTATTTGCTCTAATTTCTCAACTAGAAACTGTTAGACTTATTATATCATTCATATCTCAAAACAATAGGAAGATACATCAAATGGATGTCAAATTCACCTTCTTAAATGGAGTTCTTGAAAAAGTCTACATTGAGCAGTCACAAGTATATGAAGTAAAGGGCGAAGCAGACAAATTCTTGAAATTAAAGAAGACTCTTTATGGATTGAAACTAGCCCTTAGAGCTTGATGGTTTGTGTTTTTGCTTCTCTGTTGGTGTCCTTCACCTTCTTTGCTTCTACCTTTTTATAGAATAGCTTCACACAAAACACCAACCAATAAAGCTGAAAACATAGAACAAAACATTAACCCTTCATTTAAGGTGTGTGGGACCCATTTATGTTTATCCAACAAGAAGAACTTATATTCTTGATTTGTTAGTTCTTGATTGGTTATGTTCTTGATTTATTAAGGTCTTAATTTGTTGTATAATTTTGTTTTTCCTGAAATTTTATCATTTAAGTAATTATTTTTTAAACTTAAATAGCTAGTTATAATAAAAAAATCATCTCCATCATTAAATAATTATCTATATTAAAATGATAAAACTGATTTATCTTTAAAATTATCTTTTCACAAAAGATTTTTTATAATTTAATAATACTCTTTATTTTAATAATTTTTATAATAATAAATATTTTAGCTAAGAAAAGTGACACAAGACTCACGCTTCCTCTTTAATATATAAAGAAAAACTTTCTGTTCGCTTTGGGGACGCAGAGACTATTTTCTGAGTGGCCATAAGATACGTGACACACCATATTGCATGCATTATAAATTACAGAACTGTTATTTCACTCGGTGTCAATAGTCCATTAATAAAGGTATGATTTTTGAATTTAATTTTTCTAGGTGATATAATTGAGTTTTCAAGATTTTGCTGGGTGATGATTACTGTTGAGACTTATAAGTGGATTGGTCTGTGATCATAGAATAGGATATTCTGGCGTGTTTGTATTTTAGGTTTTAAATTACAGTTACATTTTCTTTGTAATGGTTGACGTTCTAAGAAACTTTTGTGAATAAATGTGATCGATGATGTAGTAGCAGTTGCCATGAGATAGGCTTTTGTTTTGGCCGAAATATCGGTATAAACAGTATTTAAACCCATGCTTAGAGGGGTTAAGAATTGAAGCGTGGTTGGGAAATTTCAGTGGGTATTTGCACTAGTGAAACGTGATCCAGAAGTTTATCCGGTATTTGTAAGTGAGTATTGGGTTGGATTGGCTTAGCCATCCAAATACCATATTGCTTTTGATGAATGCTGATGCCTGAGCAATTGCGTATGCTAAGACTGTTGTAGAAAATACTACACATTTCAGATTATAAATGTTCCACCAATTCCTGTTTTCTAATGCATTTTATTTTATGGCTTTTCAGGGATACAGAGTACCTTTTGCCTGTGTTATTATGGACACCAACACCAAGATGAAAACTCTAAGATGGAAATTGCCAGAGTTTCGTAAACGTTTTATGAAACAATGGTAAGATGCATACCAATACCAGAATATTATTGTAATTTCTCGTGTTACATTCAATTATTTTAGCCCTGTCTTGTGTGTCACGTTAACTGATTATCAAGTTGTTAATTGTTGTAGCTTGGAAGGTGTAGTGAATCAAAGTGATGGACCTTCGACATCTGGGCTTGTTCGACAACTGCAAAGATTTGAGCTGAAACTGAATGGTGCTGCTGACAATGAGGTATATATTTTGGGATTGTGGGAACAAAGTTACAATTTTTGTTATCCGGAAAGAATTCACTTTCAAATTGATAATTTCTTCATTGCATCTCATTGTCAACAAATTTATGTATTGTAATTCCATGTGAAGAATTCGTTTTGAAAACTATAATAGTCTTATCGAGTTCGTGATCTGCATCTATTTGCAGGCTGAGTACTGTCATTGGTTATCTAAAAAGACAAAGGAACTATTTTCACAACCACCAATGAATGCTGAATCCAAACCTTGTCTCTCAAACTCTAATGCCTCAGGGGAAGTCTTCCCTGCTCAAGGTATTGAGATGTGCAAGGCTTGTTCTCTTTGATGCTCCCAGCATGTGTGATTTTTTCTAGCTTTAATGATCATGTTTACCTATTCTATTTCAGAAACTGGAAAATCTGCAGATACGGATTGGAAGGAGCAGGTTTACCAAGAGGTAATGAAGAAGTTGTTTCTCTTCACTTTCTTTTCCTTCTACCTTGATATTGAATGCATATTCCATCATTTTTTTAAAATTTTCTAACGTGCACTGCAAAAGATATACATTTTTTGTAACTGTATATTGGTCCTTTTAATTGCAGATTCAAAAGATGAATAGTGCCTATTTTTCAAAAGTTTATGTCTCTTATCTAGAGATGAATAAGGCGCTTCAACAGGTTGGTGATTGATTCAAGCAAACTATGATCCTAGATTTACACATTTTTTTTCTTGTTACCACTAATCTTTTATATTTATGTTAAATTTCTTCAGCTTGCGTCTTTCCTCAAGGATCAAATACAGATCTTTTGGAAAAACTGATGAAGAAAATGAAACAAACAGGATGTGTTTTGGCACTCTTCAAATTGAAGAAATGCCAAATAACCACCGATACCAAGAAGATTCTAGATGAAGCAGAAAAGTTTGTAGAATCTAATTTTTCCCCAAAGAATGTTTCTTCCCATCATCAAGGTCCATCACGTTCTAGTATTTCTCCATTGAAAATAATTGAAACGAAACCATCACAACGCATGGGAACACAGAACTACTATATGAGGAAGGATGTTTCTGGGGAAAACAAGCCCTGCTTAAAAGAGAAGCAAGTGAAAATAATGGAAACGAAACCATCAACTCAAGTATTGGGAACACAGAATTTTCATATATGGAAGGATGTTTCTCAGCAAACCAAGCCGCAGCAAGCGAAAATAACAAAACGAAATCATCAGCTCAAGTATTGGGAGCACAGAATTTTTATATATGGAAGGATGTTTCTCAGCAAACCAAGCCGCAGCAAGAAAAAATAATAGAAACGAATCCACCAACTCAAGTATTGGAAACACAGAATTTTCAAATATGGAAGGATGTTTCTCAGCAAATCAAGCCGCAGCAAGAGAAAATAATAGAAACGAATCCATTACCCCAACCATTGGGAACACAGAATTCCTGTATATGGAAGGATGTCTCTCATCAAAACAAGCCATGCTTAAAGGAGCAGCAATTAAAAATAGTAGAAGCGAAACCATCAACACAACAATTGGGACCACAGAACTCTAGTATTTTGAAGCAGCAAAGTGGAAAAACAATATAGCAATTTCCCACAGCATGTAGATCAAGTGTCTATCATGAAAGGTACATCTATTAATTCAGGTTTTTTTTTAATCAGGTTAGGGTTGTACATTTTTATGCTATATTTTCCATGTTATATGTGCTTACTGGCAAATGTTTTTTACAATTTTTCAAACTCAGGTCCTGACAATGCCGTACAGAAGCAAGCCCAAGGTTCAGAGAAAGCAAGTGAAGCATTGGGGTCAGTGTAAACAGTCTGGAGACTTCAGCTTCACCCTTGACCGAAAACTGCAATGAGCTTAAAGAATTTTCTGATAAATCACGCTGAATTTTGATGAGCCAAGTGATGAAGTGAAGCGCATTCTTAAAGTGGTTGGTCTAAAACTTGTGGTTTCCATGCTTCTTATTTGCATTTCTTTAAATCATAAAAAGTGGTTGTCCTAAATTCTATTATTGTGATATACTTCTAGTTAGCCGTCATATCACCTGAAGCATTGAGCGCATCAGTTAATGAAATGAGAGACGCAGTCTATTTGAATGATGTGATGGCAACTTCAGAGTTCTTAGATGAACCACGAGAGATGGTTCAACAACAAAACCAACCGGACCTCATTGCACAAACTGAGAAAAGTGAGGCATTTTCACAACCTGGTAGGAAAAGGTCTCGAAGCCACAGTTTCAAGCAGTTGTCTGATGCTGAGGAACCTGACTGGACTTCAGTCGCATATAAAAAAAAGAAGCCAAGAATTTTGGTAATATACCTTCATTCTAGTTTTTTTCCACTAATTTTTTTTTCACAAATGCACTCTACTGAATTAATATATCATTATTTTGTTTAGTAAATTCTGCAACTCTAAATGCACTACTTAGGTATCTGTTTCTTAATTTCTGCATTCCTTAACATTAGCATTGGTAACTCTAGCAGGAAAATTCTTCTCTTTTAGAAGAATTAAAGGAGATCAACCATCGATTGGTAGACAGTGTGATTGTTGTTGGAGAAAATGTCAGCTTTCTTAAAGCGCCGGGAGTAGCGGCTGAGGATAGTGAAGGGTTGGTTATCGAATTCCTTTTCAATGCAGTATCGTTCAATATGACGTAGAATCTCATACTTTTGCAGATAAAAAGGTGAATACTTTATATTCTGTTATGAACTTTGCACACATTGATTTTTGTGTTCTGTTACATTAACCATGAATATTTGTGATGCAGTCAATAATCAAACCATTAAGGTTGTTCGTTCCTACAAATTATCCAACTTCTTTGCCTGTTATTGTAGACAAAGAGCTGTCAGAAGTCAGGTTAGATATTAAGATGATTTTCTTCTGTTTATATTCTTAAGCAGTTATTCATTAAGTCATGTTTGTAAAATTATGACTATGAAACTATTTGAATGTCAGAAATATTGGATCCTATAAATATTAAGTTTCATATTTCACCAACAAGAATTTTATCTCGATAGTTTAAATCTCCCTTGATTCCTTTTTATTCAACTTCAACAGTACTGAATGCCATAAAGACCTATCAACAATAGCAAAATCAAAGCTGATTCGCTTTCTGAGATGCTTGGATCGGACATGGTCACTTGAGGATATAGCAATGTCATGGGAACGTTGTGCCAGAGAAACAGTTCTTGAGTGTGCAAAAACCTTTGGAGGAGAAACTTTTAGCTCAATATATGGAGAGTGGGAAAATTATCGAACTCAAGTCATGGCTTGAATAGATCAATCATATATTTTTTTTTTTGCAAGGCATGTCTTCAACAGCTCCACAGTAGAATATAGCTTTAGAGTCAAGTTGATACAAAACAATCAGTTTTGTCCGAATTTGATAATATATATACAAATTTTTTGACTGATTATTTCTGATAAACTCTTCCTTCAATTACTTTTTTTGCATTCACAAGATTCAAATAGCATAAAATCTTGCTTTAATATAAGATGCAGTCGGTACCACTCAGTCTAATACACAACTTTTCAAAGAAATTTTCTAAAAATCAATTGGTATATATATGGAAGATATTTGTTGTTTATAATTGCCAACAAGACTTAGGAGCCAAGACTAATTTATTAGAAGATTTAAAGTTTAAATAATTTGCCTATGGATGTCTTTCAAAGACAGTGTGCAAACCAACACATTTTAAAATAATTTTGTTAACATTCTAATAATAGTTAGTTAGTAGGGATGGGAGTCTATATAGAGGGTGAGGAACTCTTGTAAGAGTTTGGTTTTTGTTAATTTCATTTACATAGACAGGACATTTTATATCCTTTGGAGGGTACTCCCTTGGAGGTTTGGTGTGTACTTTACAAAGAAATATACAGTTTTCTTTCTTCTTTTACTCTATGTGAGAAGAGTTAGATAGTTTCCTGTTCAAGAAACCTAGCAATTTTTTTTCACAAATTACTTCAAGTTAAACATATGTAAGTAAAAGGATTGTTAATAAATTTTACTACAAATTGAAAATAAATGGGCAAATAATTTGTATGTTCTTTTTACCAACTCATTTATTGATAGAAAATTCATCCATAATAATAATTATAAATTTTCAACAAATTTTATTAATGAATTTTAAGACAAATGTTATCCAATAGACAAATCTATCCGTAATAAAAGATATAAATTATTTATAAAATTTACCAATAGATAAATTATTCATCAAAAACCGAAAATTGATTTCTAATGTTGATTTAGATTGCTCAGAAATATTTCTAGATATTTGAATAATTAATTGTTATATTATTTCTGTAAATGTAGTTTTTTTTCATAATTATTGAGAAATAACTTATTATCAGAGGAATTTGAAATTTAAACATCAAGAAATTTAAACATCAAGATATTTGAAATTTAAACATCAAGTAACTTCATATGTGCTTTGTTGTGTTGTATTTTACTTTTGGTATGACATAAATTTTAATAATTATGTGTATTATTGGTGTCTTGCAATTATATTTTGATATTTGTAAGGTCTAGAAAATAAAAAAAGTGATAGGATGTTCTAAATAATGAGACTTTAATTTATTTAATATTAAATTAAAAATTAAAAGTTTATTTGCAATTTTATTATCTAAATATATCTTATGTGTTCTAAAGCTAGTGCAATTTGTTGTGGAAATAATTTGAATTAATGATGTTTATTTGATGATGATTTTTGTAATTGCTGTGAATATGTATGACTGCGATGTGAGAAGGATTTCAAGGAAAGTTTTGTAATGGTTTTATTTAGTGTATGTAGGGATTCCATATTCGGACCATCCTGTCCTTTAATAACCATCTAGTCTCAAGTAAAGAAGGGTGGGGTATGTCTTGAAGAGTAGCAGGAGAGTCCTTAGTTTAGTTGTTTTTTCCTTGGCCATAGATTTTTGACGGATTAACTTGTCTATGGCAGCTTGAGTAAACAAGTTGTCCCACCAACACAAGTGTGGACTCCTAGAGTCAAACATCAATACATGTATCCGGATAGTAAGTCCAAAGATAATGTTGATATGCTTAGAATTTGTTTGATTTTATTTGTGTTTAATTGTGATATTTATAACTCAATTTTATGGATGATTCTTTGGTAAAATTAAATTACCCTTTTGTCTTTGTTTGGTTNAGAGGAAGCTTTCAATCAGAAAATTAATCACAATTTAATCAGGTTTAAATCTTATAATCACAATTATAAGGGCCAGGAGAAAATTACAACAAAATTAGGGAGTAGGGTAGGTTATATGTATAGTGAGATGAGCAGAGAGAAAAGGCACTTGAGTATCGTTTGCTGGTGGTTGATTGTTTAATGATAATTAAGGGACATTGTGATGTTAAGAATATTTTGGTTATATTTGCTGGTTAAAAATAGATTAGGTATACACATGGGTTTCTAAAGTGTCTTTCAGATAAGATTGAAAAGGATATATAGGGTCCTGGTTTTGTGAATCAGGTGAGATAAGTGGACTGTGCGGTGCAGAATTCAAAATTGGTGATTAGTAATAATGTTTTTGTAGGTAGAATAGGTGTTATGTAGTTGGTTTGTTGAAGTGTTTATGTATGTATATATATAATAAATGAATTTCTTTTAGTGTAATAGTGGTGGTTCGATGATTAGATTGGAATGGGCATAGGTACGTGAATTCTAGTTAAGCATGAATAAGGTGTATGCGCCGACACTGGATAGTTGAATTGGTTGTTTGGCATATGGGTTGATGCGTTGCTAGGCTTGTGCAAATTATGTTTATCTTCTTGTGTATGTAGTATTTGGGTTGGAAATTATTTATTTAAACAGACGGAGGTTTTACTCAAAAAGGCTTGGAAGGTCACATATATAGTTCTAACCGTAAAGTTTTGTTGAGCAGGCTCAGTAAAATAGAGTGAATGGAATGTTATGAGTAAAGTACATAGCGTACCCTAAAAATATGGGTAGAGATGTAAGGTGTGAATGAGTTATGTTATGTTTGTGTGAACTATTTGAATGTTAATATTACTGATTAAATATTTAATTGCATGATGTTTTACACTAGTTCACCCTTAGATTATTTGTAGTTGTGGTTTTCACTTTTGTGATAACTATATGATTCATGTTATGCGCAAGCAGTGGGTATTGCATATAAATATCAGGATGCATAGCATTAAGTTTCTTTTGTTTAAATTCTCATTAGTTACCTTGAATATACATTTCATTCAAGAGAATTGCTTTTAAGTTTACATTTACTATTTCGGAAGTTTCATCTTTTTTTTTTTTATAAAGAAGTATTACTTTAGTATATTTTCTTTTTTCATTAAAAGATATTATACATTTCTAGTAGTACCTTTCTCGGGTGTTACACTAATGACACGAAATATAATGTTTGTGTTCAACATTCAAAGTGATGACCCATAATGTCTAAAGATACGCTTTAAAGATGAGTCATGGCATTGGTATATTTAATTTAGCCATCTTAATTTTAAAGGATTAGAGTTACTTTCCAAGAAGACAATGGTGAGAAGGTTATCTTGTATTACTCACCCCAACCAAGTTTGTGAAGAACGTCTACTTGGAAAACAATTCCTATCGAGCTTTCCAAATGAGTCAAACTCAAGAGCTCAAAAGTTATTAAAACTCTTACACACAGATCTATGTGTCCAATCATCCCAATATCACTCGGTAAGAGTGGTTATTTCCTTCTCTTCATTGATGATTTTTCAAGATAAACATTGGTATACTTCTTAAAAGAAAAATTAGAGGTATTTGCGAACTTCAAGAAGATTAAAGCACATGTTGAGAAGGAAAGTGACATTGTGATTAAAGCTTTAAGATCCGACTGTGGAGGAAAGTTCACATCAAAAGAGTTTAATAAGTGTTGTGAAGATAATAGAATTAGACGATAGTTGATAGTGCGAAGATCCCCTCAACAAAATGGAGTGGAAAAAAGGAAGAATATAACAATCCTAGAGACGACAAGGAGCATGCTTATAGCAAAAGACTCCTCAAGAAGTTTTGGGGTGAAGCCGTTGCATGTTCAGTTTATCTTACCAACTACTCCTAATAAGAATCGTGAGTGGAAAAACACCACAGGAAGCGTGGAGTTGGAGAAAGCTAGGTCTTTCTCATCTTAGAGTCTTTGGAAGAATAGCTCATGTCTAAGTATCAGATGAGAAGCAAATTAAGCTTGATAACAAAAGTGAAGAATACATCTTCATTGGTTATGATGCCATCTTCAAAGGGTACAAGCTCTACAACCCTGATACAAGGAAAACAATCATCAGTCGAAATGTAGTGTTTGATGAAGAAGGAGAATGAGATTTTTCAACAAATTGTGACGTAAGCTCAAGTGAAAGAACTCCATATTTTTGAAGTCTGTAAGAAATCTATGAGGTAACTAAAAATCTAGACAATGTTACCTTATTTTGTCTATTTATGAACTGTGAGCTCATGAATTTCCACAAAGCAATTGAAAAGAAGAGTTAGAGAAATGCTATGAATGAAGATATCAATGCAATAAGGAAGAATAATACATGGGAGCTAGTCTCGCTTCCAAAAAGGCATAAAGCAATTGGTTTCAATTGGGTTTACAAAGCAAAGAAGAACTCTAAAGGAGAAGTTTAAAAATACATGGCAAGATTGATGGCGAAAGGCTACAGTCAAAGAGCTGGCATCGACTATGACAAGGTATTTGCTCTAATTTCTCAACTAGAAACTGTTAGACTTATTATATCATTCATATCTCAAAACAATAGGAAGATACATCAAATGGATGTCAAATTCACCTTCTTAAATGGAGTTCTTGAAAAAGTCTACATTGAGCAGTCACAAGTATATGAAGTAAAGGGCGAAGCAGACAAATTCTTGAAATTAAAGAAGACTCTTTATGGATTGAAACTAGCCCTTAGAGCTTGATGGTTTGTGTTTTTGCTTCTCTGTTGGTGTCCTTCACCTTCTTTGCTTCTACCTTTTTATAGAATAGCTTCACACAAAACACCAACCAATAAAGCTGAAAACATAGAACAAAACATTAACCCTTCATTTAAGGTGTGTGGGACCCATTTATGTTTATCCAACAAGAAGAACTTATATTCTTGATTTGTTAGTTCTTGATTGGTTATGTTCTTGATTTATTAAGGTCTTAATTTGTTGTATAATTTTGTTTTTCCTGAAATTTTATCATTTAAGTAATTATTTTTTAAACTTAAATAGCTAGTTATAATAAAAAAATCATCTCCATCATTAAATAATTATCTATATTAAAATGATAAAACTGATTTATCTTTAAAATTATCTTTTCACAAAAGATTTTTTATAATTTAATAATACTCTTTATTTTAATAATTTTTATAATAATAAATATTTTAGCTAAGAAAAGTGACACAAGACTCACGCTTCCTCTTTAATATATAAAGAAAAACTTTCTGTTCGCTTTGGGGACGCAGAGACTATTTTCTGAGTGGCCATAAGATACGTGACACACCATATTGCATGCATTATAAATTACAGAACTGTTATTTCACTCGGTGTCAATAGTCCATTAATAAAGGTATGATTTTTGAATTTAATTTTTCTAGGTGATATAATTGAGTTTTCAAGATTTTGCTGGGTGATGATTACTGTTGAGACTTATAAGTGGATTGGTCTGTGATCATAGAATAGGATATTCTGGCGTGTTTGTATTTTAGGTTTTAAATTACAGTTACATTTTCTTTGTAATGGTTGACGTTCTAAGAAACTTTTGTGAATAAATGTGATCGATGATGTAGTAGCAGTTGCCATGAGATAGGCTTTTGTTTTGGCCGAAATATCGGTATAAACAGTATTTAAACCCATGCTTAGAGGGGTTAAGAATTGAAGCGTGGTTGGGAAATTTCAGTGGGTATTTGCACTAGTGAAACGTGATCCAGAAGTTTATCCGGTATTTGTAAGTGAGTATTGGGTTGGATTGGCTTAGCCATCCAAATACCATATTGCTTTTGATGAATGCTGATGCCATGAGTAATTGCGTATGCTAAGACTGTTGTAGAAAATACTACACATTTCAGATTATAAATGTTCCACCAATTCCTGTTTTCTAATGCATTTTATTTTATGGCTTTTCAGGGATAAAGAGTACCTTTTGCCTGTGTTATTATGGACACCAACACCAAGATGAAAACTCTAAGATGGAAATTGCCAGAGTTTCGTAAACGTTTTATGAAACAATGGTAAGATGCATACCAATACCAGAATATTATTGTAATTTCTCGTGTTACATTCAATTATTTTAGCCCTGTCTTGTGAGTCACGTTAACTGATTATCAAGTTGTTAATTGTTGTAGCTTGGAAGGTGTAGTGAATCAAAGTGATGGACCTTCGACATCTGGGCTTGTTCGACAACTGAAAAGATTTGAGCTGAAACTGAATGGTGCTGCGGACAATGAGGTATATATTTTGGGATTATGGGAACAAAGTTACAATTTTTGTTATCGGGAAAGAATTCACTTTCAAAATTGACAATTTCTCATTGCATCTCATTCTCAACAAATTTATGTATTCTAATTAATTCGTTTTGAAAACTATAATAGTCTTATCGAGTTCGTGATCTGCATCTATTTGCAGGCTGAGTACTGTCATTGGTTATCTAAAAAGACAAAGGAACTATTTTCACAACCACCAATGAATGCTGAATCCAAACCTTGTCTCTCAAACTCTAATGCCTCAGGGGAAGTCTTCCCTGCTCAAGGTATTGAGATGTGCAAGGCCTGTTCTCTTTGATGCTTCCATGGAAACTTTTCATGACCTACTCCCATCAACTCCCAATAATATACTTGCACCAACATGTGTGATTTTTTCTAGCTTTAATGATCATGTTTACCTATTCTATTTCAGAAACTGGAAAATCTGCAAATACGGATTGGAAGGAGCAGGTTTACCAAGAGGTAATGAAAAAGTTGTTTCTCTTCACTTTCTTTTTCCTCTACCTTGATATTGAAGGCATATTCCATCATTTTTTTAAATTTTCTAACGTGCACTGCAAAAGATATACATTTTTTTTAACTGTATATTGGTCCTTTTAATTGCAGATTCAAAAGATGAATAGTGCCTATTTTTCAAAAGTTTATGTCTCTTATCTAGAGATGAATAAGGCGCTTCAACAGGTTGGTGATTGATTCAAGCAAACTATGATCCTAGATTTACACATTTTTTTTCTTGTTACCACTAATCTTTTATATTTATGTTAAATTTCTTCAGCTTGCGTCTTTTCCTCAAGGATCAAATACAGATCTTTTGGAAAAACTGATGAAGAAAATGAAACAAACAGGATGTGTTTTGGCACTCTTCAAATTGAAAAAATGCCAAATAACCACCGATACCAAGAAGATTCTAGATGAAGCAGAAAAGTTTGTAGAATCTAATTTTTCCCCAAAGAATGTTTCTTCCCATCATCAAGGTCCATCACATTCTAGTATTTCTCCATTGAAAATAATTGAAAGGAAACCATCACAACAAGCATGGGGAACACAGAATTTTCATATATGGAAGGATGTTTCTCAGCAAACCAAGCCGCAGCAAGCGAAAATAATAGAAACGAGATCATCAGCTCAAGTATTGGGAGCACAGAATTTT